ACACCCAGCCAGAGAATCGAACTCAAGTCTCTTACGTGTGACAGCAACAAACACCTAAATACTACACCACTGACGCCGTTGGGTTTTTTGTTGTTTTTTCTTGTTGTTGTTTTTGTTGTTTGTTTTTTGTTTTTGTTTTGTTTTTGTTTTGTTTTTGTTTGTTTTGGTGTTTTTTTTGGGGGGGTAGGCTTTGCAGCTTATTCAAGAGACGGGACATCCGAATTGAACGTCCATCTGCTACACCACAGACGCCGGTTTTTACAGGTTGAGAAATGTACGGTATATTTGAGACGAGGGACGCTCGATGTTAAAAACATTCAGGACACGACAAATGCAGTTTTTGGGACACCTGAATAGACATAAGGGTCTTGGACATCTAGCTCTCACTGGTAAAATTGAAGGCAACCGAGGCAGGGGTAGGCCCAGAGCAACCTACTTAGGGAACCTAAACAAATGGGTAACGGGGAAAGATCAGGGATACGTAGCTTTTTTGAGAGCATCTGAGCAAAGGAATGAATGGAGAACCATGATCGCCGATGTCTGTCGCAGATCTGGCACTGGATGGTGATGAAGAGGCGGGACATCCGAACTGAACGTTCCTTTCCGATAGTACTAAGGTGAAAGGGTGGAGAGCCTAAAAGTTCCTCGAAACAATCGTAAGTTAAGAACGCCACGTTGGGATTCGAACCAGAACCATCCGCCGCTGTGTGGTCCAGCATGATACTTACTGGGCTAACAGGACGTCCACAAACGGATAATGTTTTAGTAGAGGTTTTACGGCGCTCGCAACTGCATACGGTCATATGAGCACCAAGGGGTGGATGTCAACAGAGAAGTCCAAACGGGGAATCAGACTTACTCTGCTCACCTCTCTAGATTCAACAGCACAAAAAAACCCGGATAAGAAAGCCAGAATGTAAGAAAAAGAAAGAGAGAAAGTAGAGATTGTACCACGCGGAAAAAGCACACAATGTGACGATATGTGGAGGGGAAGACAGGTAAATATTAGGAACAAATTAAATGAATAAAAGAAGAAAGATCGGAAAACGAAAGAAAAAATAGGTGAAATAAAGAGAGAGAGAGAGACAGAAAGAAAGAAAGACAGAAAGAAAGAAAGAAAGAAAGAAAGAAAGAAAGAAAGAAAGAAAGAAAGAAAGAAAGAAAGACAAATTATTCTAAAAAGAAGAAAAGAAAAAAGGGAATAAAAGAAAAAAGAAAAACGATAAAATGGCCTCCCCCCCAAAAAAAATAAAAAATTAAAACTAAAAAAAGAGGGGGAAACCCTTAAAAAATATATAAAATAATCAGAAAAAAACCGTGTAGAAATGCCGTCATAATATCTTAAAACAAAAAAAAACACAAAAAAGAAATAAAAATGGGCAAGAAAACGAGAAAAGAACCGGTATTTGTGCGAAAATGACTCAAGTCTGGGTGAGTAGGTTTAATTAAAGGCCTGCTCTAAGCCGTGGGTCTCAAGGGAACAGTGAAAGAAGCTGTGTGCTAGAGGCCGCCATTTTTTCTACATGATACAAAAGATGTAGAGGGCTATTGATAGGCTGGGAAGGGCGGAAACTATGGAAGGCCGGCAGAGCAATGGTGATAAATCAGCGAATTTTGTGTGATAAAGAATGATAAAGGTAAGCGTTTTAGTTTTAGTAAGAGTTTTACGGCACTTGCAACGCAATAATGCCGAAGATTAGAGGTGTTACTAGAGAGTAACAAACACAAAAAAGGAGGTGAGATAGAGACGATATTTTTTTAATGAAAAAAAAGGAGCAAACCACACCAGAGCACCCTCCAACCACACACAAAGGTAAGTGTTTTACGGCGCCCACAACTGCAAAAGGTCATAATAGTATGAGTGTATGGGACACATTAAACATAATTTTCAGTTTGGTAGGAAGTAATTTTCAAAATTGCCAGGGTGGCGACCGAAGCCTACCCTTATCGACTTTGGACCTTCAAGGGGTCTTGGTTCTCCCGGATTTTTCGCCCTTGTCCGAGAAGGTTAGGTGTCAGATCTTACTTCTCCTTAGATCAGGGGTGTGGCTAAAAGACAGCAGTAGGAAGGAGCCAAGGAGTAGCAGTAGAAAGGCTGCAGAAAGAGTCAGGAGCCCAGAGGAAGGGGCAAAGGAGGTGACGGGGGGGGGGTGGAGAAAAAGTGGAGATGAAAGCAGGTGACAGAACATTGTTAGAGAGCAGGAAAGGAGGTGAAAGGAGGTGAAAGGAGGGGAAAGGAGGTGAAAGGAGGTGAAAGGAGGGGAAAGGAGGTGAAAGGAGGTGAAAGGAGGTGAAAGGAGGTGAAAGGAGGTGAAAGGAGAACATTAAAGAGAAGAAAATGTTCCGTCACCGTCAAGTTTCAAACCCGGGACCTTTGAATAAGAGGCGGACACTGTAACCTCTAGACCACGACAGCCCCAGAGAGAATGGGTTTGTTTGTTTGTTTGTTTGCTTGTTTGTTTGTTTGTTTGTTTGAACAAAGAGAAGTACATCGACACAATAACGGTCATTTAGTGCTGGGGAAAAGTAAGACAGACAGACAGACAGACAGAACAGAGGGAAAGGCAAGAAACAGGACCTACCAGTGACCCCCTCCAACCACCCACTCAGACAAACAGAAACTACAGAGGGAGAGTGAAGAAGTAGGACCTACCAGTGACCCCCTCCAACCACCCACTCAGACAAACAGAAACTACAGAGGGAGAGTGAAGAAGTAGGACCTACCAGTGACCCCCTCCAACCACCCACTCAGACAAAGAGAAACAACAGAGGGAGAGTGAAGAAGTAGGACCTACCAGTGACACCCTCCAACCACCCACTCAGACAAAGAGAAACTACAGAGGGAGAGTGAAGAAGTAGGACCTACCAGTGACACCCTCCAACCACCTACTCAGACAAAGAGAAACTACAGACAAGAAGGAAAGAAGGATGGACTACCAGTGACACCCTCTCTTGCTCTCTATCTGCCCCGACCCCGCCCTCTATTTCTACACCATGTCTACATATCTCTCTGTCTCTCTATATCTCTATCTCTCTTTCTCTCTCTCTCTCTCCCACTCTCTCTCCCCTCTCTCTCTCCCCCTTCTCTCCCCCTCTCTCTCTCTCTCTCTCTCTCTCTCTCTCTCTCTCTCTCCCACTCTCTCTCTCCCCTCTCTATCTCCCCCCTTCTCTCCCCCCCTCTTTCTCTCTCTCTCTCTGACTCTCTCTCTCTCTCTCTCTCTCTCTCTCTCTATATATATATATATATATATATATATATATATATATATATATGTGTGTGTGTGTGTGTGTGTGTGTGTGTGTGTGTGTGTGTGTGTGTGTGTGTGTGTCTTTCCGAGAAGGTCATTGATCCTAAGTTTTAGTTCTGTTAGTGTTGGTAAGAGTTTTACAGCATTTGTAACACAATTTGGTCATATAAGTTCTGAAGATTAGAGGTGTAACAAGAGAGTAAAATACAAAGAAAAGAAGGAGGAGAGATCATAAGGACGATAGATGTTTGATAGGAAAGAAAGAGCAAACCACACCAGAACACCCGCCAACCACCCACTGAAGGCAATAAATCGACCCCCAAGTTTAGTTGTAAAATTACCGCACACAAAAGATTTCGAGAAAGGACAGCGTCGTCAAAATAGGGAAATTAAATTAATATTCTCATCAGTGGTAACACGGACTACCATAGAAACACGTTCGCCCCTAATGAATAATCATATAAGAACCAATCGCATCTCGTTCCCTTTCATTAGACGCCGGCTGTCCCCTCCACACTTTCTCCTTTCTTCCTGCCTTCCGTTTGGCGCGCATTCCAGGGAGTTCCCGTCTCAGGTCAGTCGTTTCTCTCTCGTTCCTGACGCCTGTGTCCGTGATCATTACGTCATTTGTGACCTCATTACCTACCCCCCCCCTCCCCAAATCACACCCCCCCTAAAAAATAAAAAAAAAGAATGCTTTATCATTTGCTCATCGTACCAACGATTTTTGGATTCTTTGGAGTCTAATGGGACTTTTGGAGTTTTTCAGAAATTAAGATAATTCGTTGTGGTGTGGTGACATTAGTTTTGATAATTATGCACTTTTTTCAGAAATTCCGAAATTAGACTAATGTATTGGGGTGAAATAGT